CTTTGACTTTCAGGTTGATCTATTGGCCTTAGGGAGAGTTCAGAGGTAAAATGTGACATGATATTTTAAATCTTTATACGTTATAAATGTTGACATTACACAGTGCGCTTTTAAGGAGGCTTTTTGTCAATTTTTCAACAGCAAGTCATAAAGTTGACCATGAAGACGTCGGTGGATGTAAATCAAACTTTATTGGATCATTATAACATGATCCTGCTCTACAGAGTTTTATCAGAATACATTCAAAACTTTCAGAGCTGTTGTGTTTACAGACAGAATGAAATGCAAATGCTACGAAAAAAGTGAGTTTTTCGTTGAAGATGAGAAGAAACTGCTGAAACCATTTTAAGCAAATTTTTGGTTTACACATCATCTGTACTGATCTGACGCAGTATGTGATAAAGTGAAACCTTCCCTGTGTTTGTCATGCTCAGTGTTTACCTGATGAATGAGCCTTGCATCAAGGAGTGTTAGAAACTGATCCGACCTGAGCGTCTGGTTTGCAGTGACATGTTTATCCTTGTCTAAGTTCCTGTTACGTAATCGGCTCCAACAAACTCGTTTCACTTTGACAGCAACAGTTTGGATCACTGTGTCGGAGTCTGGGGCCTTTATCTGTGGTAAGTCTTGTTTTTTGTATTTGAGTCGGAGAACTCAAAAAACAAGAAACTAATAATGAAGACAAAAAAATGTTTGATGGAAAAACAAAGGGATTTTTTCTACATGTTACTGAATAAAGTCAGACTGTTGTTTCTCTGTGAGCACATACAAGATGATAAATGTTTCTGTCAGTTGTTAAAAGCTCCCACAAAGCTCCAAATGTAGCAGCAAAGTGTGAGAAAAGCTGTATTTTTGTTTATAAAGACTTTGAACTTATCGAGCTGACTTAAAAGGAACTCTGAGCTTTCAGTTATGGTTATGTGCTTAAGTTACACTGATATGGAAAGGGGTTAATTTCAAAATAAAAGGCCATAACCTAACCCCAACCCTGCTGAATAATCTCAGTTAAAGATGATAATTTTAACAAGTGAACACAGTATCACAGTATCTGCTTCTTTAGAAAAATAAATGTAACCTAATTATTTTGGATGTTAGTATTTTGTTCTGTATCAGCTGATCGATGTTTCTGATGAGTGTTTCACGGACCACCATCAAACACTTTTCTTTAATATATTTGCCAAATAGAGTTAAACACTGAGCTGACAACAGACTGTTGCTGATTGGTCTGCTGTTTACACAATGGGTGGAAAACTCACATGAATCGTTTCAGTTTCTCCTTTGAGAAATAAAGCTTGATACAAACTCAGGAGCCCAGCTGTCTGAGACGACTGAAGATGAAGCACATTTGTTATATTTAAACTGAGTTTGCACCTGTCTGTGTTGAACTGTGTCAATCATCAGTTAACACGACTTTTCAGCTGTTTGGGGGCAGAGTCAGCTTCCTCAGAAATAATCCTTAAAGTTTGAAGGTGTTTGGTTAAATTCGTCATCAAATCATTAGATTTGTTCTGCTCTCTGTCAGTCAAAGTTAGAGAAGAAGATATAGTAACGATTCAAGAGGAAGCACTATGTGCTCGTGCCTCATGCTGACGTTCATGTTCAGTGTTATATCACTTATTCCAGTAATGTGTTGGTGTCTCATAGTTATTGTTCATTTGTAATGTGATTTTCAGCTATTTTTCTAGTTTGAGACTTCTGTGCATATTAATGAGCTCTGGTCAGCACAACAGATCCTGTGTCAGTCCCTCTTCTGTGGAACCAGGTTCCAGTTTGGATTCGGGAGACAGACACTCTCTCTACTTTTAAGATTAGGCTTCAAACCTTCCTTTTTGCTAAAGCATAGTTAGGGCTGGACCAGGTAACCCTGAATCCTCGCTTAGTTATGCTGGATAAATGCAGTAAAATATGTCCAATAATTGACATTTCAGCAGCTGCACCACCAATATTAATACCAACAACAACACTAAAACATTCAACGCATGTGTGTTACAGAAAAGGATTGTGTGCTTTGCTGAGCAGCTGGAAGCCTGCACAGACAGAAAAGTTTAGAGAAACACTGCAAACAAACATACACTGCCTCACAGCATCTGTGGGTGTGGGGTCTTTTTGTGTCAAAGGAATTAAAAAAAGAAACAAAAAAATTCAATTTGTCATTAAAATTATTATTTTTTTAAATGGTTGCTTCTCTTTTTACAGCATGTTAGTGATGGATTACAGTGAGGACGACATCACTTCTCATTGAAAGCAGAGGCAGTTTTTAATTAGATATTAATAATTAGATATGTTAGATTTTTATGTTAAATTTATTAATTTATTTATTTATTTTTGACACATAACGGTGATCTTTTACTACAAAGATCAGCTTGGACCAAAACGTCCAGGCTGATCTTTTCTCTCAGTACAAGCCTGACCAGAATATTTAAAATCATCACTCTCTGTTATTGAATCAGTGATGATCTAAAGGTCTGTTTACATATAAACTATTTTGAAACTGCTTAATAGCTAAACACTGAAACAGCTTCTTGAATGTGACTTCTGTCACGGTTTGCCTGGGTAAAGGAGGATCCAAATGCTGCGGTGAACAGTGCGTTTATTTACAGTGCAGTAAATATTCACACAAACAATCCCGATGCATTCCCCTGACTCCCGTGCCGTGTCTTCTTCCCCAATAAGTCCGTGCCTCTTGCTCTCCGCTCCCGTGTGTCTGCACTCCACGTGCTCGCTGCTCTCTGGCTTTCCACACTCTTCCTGCAAGAAACGATAGAAGCAGCTATCACTCAACTACTGTGGGCATACACTCACTATACTTGACACTAATGTGGAGTCTCACGCAACAGTCCAGCATCAAGGAACGCTCGGGCAAACTATTAAATAGCTCCAAGACGAGGCTTGATCAACTTCAGGTGTGTGTGCGTTTCTCGTCCTCAGGTGTGGCGGGGCTCCTGGCTGACACCCCCACCAGGGCTGAAGAACAGGGGCTCTGCCACACCCACATACACACCCAGCTATACACAAACATTAGGAAACAGGACAGCAGCACGAAAAATACACGTCCATACTTATTCAAAGACCCTGGGTCCTTCAGACACAGGTCCGTGACAATTTCACTGGGACTGAACCTGTTTTCCTGTTGATGTTACAGAGTGGAGGAACTCATTGATCAACAGTACAGGATCTGCAGTCTGGAGATGTTGTTCAGAGTAGACAGATGAAGAAACGCACCACAGAGAAACTTGAGGTAAGATTTCTTTAATGTTGTTAAAGAATCAGAAACAGTAACATTTAGAATAAAACACATGATGTTATATTAGACTGCTGGACGTCCTGTGAGATGCAGAGAGTAACAGGAAGCTTGTTTTGCTTGTTGATTTTCAGAGTAAAGAGTGATGGCTCTTCAGGAGATCAGTGTGATCTTCACACACAGACCCTCGGCCTTCTCTGCTGCTGTGCTGCTTCTAACACTCGTCCTCTGCAGAGGTGAGCAAAACTGCTGAGCATATAAACTCATCTATGATCATTTTTGGTTGTTTTGTTTAAACATTAAAAAAATGGTTCTCAAATTCACAATTGTTGGAAACTAGCCAGAACGACCAGGAGGACAATATAGAGTTATGAATGAACGAATGAATATGACAGGCTGTGGTGTGGGGGCCTTGTAATTCTTTGGATTTATAACAGAAATGATGCTTCGTTTATTCCTGTGCTTCACAGTTCTGATGTTGTATAAAGTTGTGAGTGTGTCTGCTCCTCTGTCTCCTCAACAGGATCATTTGTAGTGGATGTGACACAGAGCTCCTATCAGGCAGAGGAGAACCACAACATCACACTGGAGTGGACGTTCACCACCAAACC